TTCACTCGGAAGAAAGATAACTATGAAAGATTATTGAGTAATTTATCTTATTTAAAATCCAAACCACAAATTTAAGCAAAACTATATGTTTTTTTATATGAAATGCATCGTTTAAACAAACTAAAAATAATGTTTTTGAAATTATGACAGAACATAACATTATTTTCACTAATTATTGATTGAGAATAAATACTTCTTAATAAAGAATGAAGAGTTGTGTCACGCGTATTCTCTTCATCCCAACTACAATGACGTCGTTTCAAGAATAGAATGCGCAGAATGCCTTCCTAGAAAGTTTTACCAAGACACAACAATGCAAACGACACATTTTCCTCAGAAACGTGATATTCGTAAAGCCGGGGTGATGACTCTGTCACTGTGACCGTGTGACTTCTTAAGGGCTAATAATGGAAAGTTTTGGGTTCACTCTCTTGAAGCATGATGTTTCTAAACTACCCGTACTATTATCCTATCTACAGCTTTTCTGACGTGTACTTCACAAACTTACACAAATGAATTCACAATTAATTACTCATTTATTTTAGAGCTGCAGCAAATCTAATAGTATACATTACATTGTATTCTTAGTATTATTAAATTAGTTCATTGCGACCGATTGCCACTAGAATTTTCCGCGCAGAGGGCCGGAGGCAGAGACGTGAGCGCTCATAAAGTAGCGACCGTGTTTGTGCGCCCGGCGACGGGCTGGCGTACCGCTCAGCCGCTGCCATCTTACGGGCACACAGCACAGTTCACTATTGATCTGAGTCTTTGTGTTTGTTGTTACTTCGCACCTGTTGTCAAGGACGCCGTCTGGGCTGCGCTTGCCATCCGGTCCGCATGCGAGTCTAACACTTCGTTTGCTGGGGCTTTTCAAAGGGAAGTTGTACAATTATTCCGAATGATTATCCTTGTAGTCAAATTTTAGTTTGCACAAGAAAACTACTTTAATTATAATATTGCCGGGGAAAATTTCTTGATTTTTCTAAATAAATTTTCTACTTTGCTTTCCTAAACACGTAAGCCAGCTGCAATTGTATTAATTCATTAAAACTTCAATTGTTCACGGGATATGAAAATAATATAAATTTTGTTCAATTTTCGTAAAACAAAACTCATAGGACATTTTGTCACTGTATTATTCCTGAAACAGTGTCATCTAAAACGTTATTAATATTAACATCCCATGAAATATTGTGTAACTTATGATAAAAGAAATAAACATTTGAATAAATGAAAATAAAAATAAATTTTCTATCCTTTGCTACTTTTATTCAGGTTTAAAAAAGTTTGATGAGCAAAGGAATGCATGTAAACCTCTTAATGATTATTTTACCAATGCTTTCTTTTCGTAGTTTCACCTAGAATTCGTAAAAAAGTCAGTGTCTTAAAAAAAGGACAAATTACAAAAGGAATCGCCCAATGCAGAAAGGGTACATCTTGCAGCAATGCAGAAAAAACGATTTGCAAGGAGACTTATCAATATTCTATTTTGTAACTTTTTCTGCAGATACATTTGCAGAATCTGAACGTAATAGACTGCAAGATACATTTAAATATTATTTAACGTTGTTGATATTACAAAACCAGATTTGCATCCTTTCTGCATTGGATGAATATCTCAATATACTTTTTCACGATAATAATGTTTCTGACAATGCTTACAACACAAATATGATTTTATTCTCATGTCAATACATAGCTTAAAAAGTAAGGGCGAATGAGGTGAAAAAAATTGAAGTTAAAAAATCATAAATTATTTTTTCATTCAAAAGTTATGTAGTCCATAACTTCTCATCTCTAGAATCATTAAGACGTAATATAAAAGCTATTGCAAGTGTCTTGAATATCCTTTGTGTACAAATTATTGCAATAACATAAAATCTCAAGTGGATTAAGATGTGGAGTTACAAAACATTTCAAACTACATTTACAATATGCACCTACGTTTCAAGCAGGAATTATTGGTCTTTAGAATTCACATAACTTTGCCCACATAACCTAACCGTTTCCTAATAACACTCCTTTTCCAAAGTTCTGAATTAAGATTCTTTTTGCCTTCATTTTCTTCCTCTACATTCACTCTACACTCACATGTTTTTAAACGAAAAATAATGTCCTTTCCTCATAAAAATATTTACAAAACTATTTTAAAGAACATTAAAAACTCAAGTACACACAATAAATTGTAGCACACAACACGGCCTTTAGAAATTTCACATGGCTGCCAACCTCCACCAATGCAAGAACGTTACATCTTTGCAACATGACCCCTTTCTGAATTGCATTGTTCCTTTAATTCACGTTTTCAGCAAGAAGAACAAAAGTAAAGAAGTTACCTTATGCGCAGAGAAAGATATATCTAAAAGGAAGGCATTTTAATCATAGCATTAAAATAGTCGAAACGTGAACAAGTACCCTTCCTGCATTGTGCGGTTCAAATAGCCTTCGACGTTAAGAGAACGAGTCAGTCAGAATAAATAACTTTCTATCCGAGAAATCTAGCTGTGGCAAATCTAACTTATGTTAAGCGCGTTCATGTATTTCCTTCGAGATATTAATACCTTTCAGATGAATTAATATTATTTGTTGACAAGAACTATTTAACAATATTTTTTAAATATAGGTTATTTTAGACCAAAAATAATATGTCATGAAATGAATTAAGGAATAACGTTTCACATGAAAATTTATCCCATTGTGTGTATTCACGTAGTCACTTGTACTTGATTCAGTTGAATATCTACAAACGAGAATATTTACGAATATATTTCAGTTACAGTCAGTGTAGAAAAAATAGTGGATACTTTGGTATCCTTTTCGGTGTACAGAATTTGTGTTGTAACTTATTGTTGTTAATTCCCTCTGCTCCCTTGACAACAGAAGACGACTTCCTTTATTTTGACAAAACAATACCCCGGTACTGATGAAAGGAAGAAACACTTCTTCGAAATGGAGCGCAAAGCGCGTCACCTGGCGAGAGTGTTTGATGCATTATGACGGCACAAGAACTGCCCTTAGAATGTGAGTTTCAGCGTTTGGCAGTAGGATGTGAATATAAAATGTGTTTGAGAACACTTTCAGGAATCAATAAAATATGAAGAGAGCACATTAGTTTATAATGCTGATATAAAACTACGCTTGAGGAAACGAATGTATACTCGTAACAGTAGTGGAATGCAGAAGAGAATCAGTGATATGATAATTACAACGCATTCGATGTAATTAATCGTACGGTAAAAATATTCGACAACTTGAAGCATCAGTGTCTGCATTTTTATCATAGTTAAACGCCAATCCGCATTTAATGGAAACAAAACTATACACGTACAGTATTTGGATAATCGAGCCAGTCAATCTGAAATGGCGGGCCAGCGGGGCGGGGTGAGCAAGCGGGGCGTACGCGAGAGCCCCTCGGCGAGTGCGGGCCGGGCCGGGCCGGGCCGGGGAGGGCGCGATTGCGGCGATTTCCAGCGCTCCCCGTCGATAAGGCTCGTTCATCATCAGCGCGCGCGAGCTAATGAGGCGACGGCCGGCCACATACCTTCCCTAATGACGGGGCACTTCTCCCGCGCCGCCGCCCGCGTCAGCAAGTGGCCCGCGCCCGCGCCCACGCAGCGGCGCGTAACTCAGACTTCTTACCCGCTCAGGAGGCAGCGAGGGCGAAGATGGCTCACACCGCCCCGGCGTCGAGGAGGAGAATAATAGTGGCCGGGAGCAGAGGTCTCCGGCCCGGGGCGGTCGGCGGGTCGGATTTGCCCCAGGAAGATTTCAGTGGGACCTCATTAGAGCAAGTAAAAACAATAAACTGCTCGTTAAAGAATGATTAATTTTAAACAAATATTGTTCATCCTTACTACGTTGCTATTTCAACCCAATTTTCATAGATGCTATTTTATGTTATTCTTAATGAGAATATTATGCAAAATAGTTTTGTACCAAACATTTACGTCAAATGAAATTTGTGTTTGCTGCGTAAACGGTGTTACGGTCAAAGCAAGAGGTGTGGAGAAAAAATGTTTAAAAAAATGTGTTATATTTATGTTTTTAAAATCTACATTACTCGTAGTAAAATATAGACACATGTGTAGTGTAGCCATTGAACAGTCTTCCAGTTCAATATTGTTCCCACCAAACCTGGGCTTATCCCTCTTTATACTAAAACATGTATGTATATTCTTCACTTACCCAAAATTCACAAAAGAATAACTGTGTAAACGTGGCTGGGGACGAGGCTTTTATACCCACAAATAGATTTTACATTTTGAATTATTCTTATGACAAAATCGAATTTTTGCCGGTTTTGGCCGTAACACCGTTTACGAAGCACACATAGAAATGTGTGAATATAGTACGAGTGTTTAAAAATACACATACAAATAGTTTTATTTATCAGTTGTTGGTGTTTATGTACTAAGCTGCCTACATTCTGATAAATCAAGAAAACACAATTCGTTCTCTGCGGATGTCCAGTCAAACGTTTTGAAAGCGTATGTTTTATCCTTGTATATTAACTTAACACTAAAATTTTACAAAGGCTTTGATTTGTAGAACACTTTTTTCCCTGATGTCAAACATGATTTCAAAATAGTTAAACATTATTTCAAGAGTTCTGTTAATAAAGAATCATGTCATCAATCTTAAAAATCCTGGTCTTTTAAGCCGTAATTTGATTTTCGGTTAAATAGGCAAACACATCTGAGAAAGTCCTTTGGTCAACACACGTCTAAAGGAAATTATTCTAGGAGCTTTTTCACATCCTTCACAAATGCTTCCTTTCCTTACACGTGTTTCTCACTACATCCAATTGCATGTTTGGAGATAAGTTTATTGCATACACGCGATTATATAATACCCTGACATTATGAATGAAATAAAAATATTATCACTTTATAACATTATACGAGTGAAGCAATGGAGTGTGTTGCCGAGGAGTCCAACTCATAGATCGTGCTTGTTGGTCTCCGATTTTATATAAACCCGTTTCTCTTAATTTCTAGGTAAGAGCTGGAATATAGCTGACAACGAATACTGCACAATGGAGTACCCTACCTTTGAAGTGAATGGTAAGAAGTTTGTCCAATTTATCTTGTGCTTGCATCTCTTCTTCGAAGAGTGTAGGGTCTTGCCGACCCGCACTCGCCTCACTGTAAAGCTTGAGTTATGGATTTTGGTCTGCATCGCACTGTGTCCTCTCGTACCTTGTTGTCTTCTTCCCGCTTTTCACCCAACAGCTGTTCTACCGCACGCTCGTGGCGAATCTCCGAGGTGGTGTACGTCTTCATTCATTTACACAAACTTACTTCCAGTTGAAGCATATTCGGAGCCGTCCAGATGAAGATCGTTCCTGGGAATGCAGATGTCGATTTTGCCAGTTATCTTGTAGAAGATTTTATTTTTTAAGGTAGAAAAAAGATGTATACAGGAGCAATCGCTGTTTCAGGAAGGTACCTATCAAGCAACTACCGGGGAACGAGATTGACAGCCTCCTTTCCCTCACATAAACTCAGGAACCATTTTATACTTGCAGCGGCAAAGGCCAGAAAGTAGTGTCTCTAAATAAATTTGACGCACATTGCCGGAGCTCATCGACATGCAGGTTAATCAGTTGAGGGAACTCACACGTACTGTACTCGTTCAAAGTTCAAAGAACCCTTTGTTGAAATCTCGTCAGGGTAGCATACCCAAACCCGTAAGCCAAGAATTGGCGGAACGTGAGTTTGACAACGTGCGTTTCCAGTTAAATGAGGGCGAGGGTAGGCGAGTCGGAGCGGGGTCGGAGCGGGGCCGTGGCGGGCCGGGGGTGGGCGGCAGGAGATGGGGCGGGAAAAGCGCGCTGGCGGCGAGGGCTTTGTTTCGCGGGCGAGGATCTTCATTATATGAATTGATTGATAGTTTGAAGAGCCGCGGGCGCCGCGGGCGGGGCGCGCGCCCGGGCGCCGGCCGCGCTGGGAGGCGCATCAGGCGCAGCTGTCGACTTGCCCCGCGCCGCGCCGCGCCGCGTGCGCGCCGCTCACGTGGGCTGAGACACGGGCTCCTTGCTTGCAATACGGGGCTGGCAGTTTCCTTTTTCTCAGTGGGTGGGAAGCCGCGAAGGAATTAATAATAAAAGGTATTACTCTAGAAGTGATTTGATATTTACCTAAGTAATAACTACTAATAACTAGTAATAACTACTAACTAAAAAGTATGATATAAATCTTCAAAATCCTTCGAATCGGCAGTATTTCATTACAAAGTGGTATTCTTAACAGTAAAAATGCCTAATACAAAATATTATCCCCTTAAATACAAGTACTGTTAATTGGTTTCACTTGTACTAATAATATTGGAAAAGGAAGTTACTTTTATGTCGACAGTCATTTGAATCTTAACATGTCGAAAGGTATATGTGTACAGTGAAAAGATTTAAGAAATTCCAAAACTGTAGTAATTCATTTTTATTTTTTTGTCTAACGTAATGTGTTAATGAGAATCTCTGGGATCATTTTTCGAAAATAACACACAATTATTAAAACTACATTAATAATGGTGTTTGTAGAAATGATTCTGATAGACGTAAACAATTCTTGATATGTGATTTGAATGATTTCATAGTCAGGATTATTTACGCATGGCACACGTTTCGGAACGAACATGATTTAAATATCAAAAGGGAAAATAGAAGGAGAATAACAAACGTTTTAAAGAACAGACAAACATTTTTGTGGGATAATTTTGGGGGAGTTAATTACGAGTTTTCTGTAGAGTTTTCGAATTTTAATCTTAAAATTCCTCGCCACTTTCGGTTTTCTTGTCATTTTACAATAATTATTCTTGAAAGCTATCTACGTTAACGTAAATATATTGTTTCTGTGAAGTACAGACTAGGCCTCTTTTAAGTGCTTCAAATTAATGACATATTTGAGTCATTACACTAATTGGATGCCCGAAAAAAAGCACAATTCCCATAACTGATCGCGCCAAACTTGCATTATTTATTGAATGTTGCATATAAATTGATAGACTCAAAGTGAAATTGTTAAGAAAAATTCCTCTTTGTAGTTATCATCTAAGTAATGTTAAAGAATAGAAATCCAACAAAAATGAAGAAGTGTACAATTATTTTAAAAATATCGTACTTAGATGATTTTATTTATTTACAATGTTGTAATATTTTAAGTTATTTAAGGGATTAACAAGGCAAGGCTACAACGACCTCTCTATACCTTTAAGTAGTCTTTCTCTATTTCTGCACATTGCTAAGCACACAATGACTGCACTTCCAGGAATGATAAGAATAGTGATAAATAGATGTCATAAGCAAGCTGAACGTCAGACGAAAGTAATTATTTAAATTCTTTTGAAGACTTTTTGATCCTTCTCTATTAGTAATACGTTTTATTGTTAGAACTTTCTTCTACCTACCTTCTACCTTCTCTAGAAATGTTTTCAAATTAAATTGCTTTTAAAAATCCAATCTTTTAAATATATGACAAAAACTTCAGTAATTAAAAACAACACGAAAGTGAATTATTTTTAACAAGCTTTTATGAATGTACTAAACAGCAATGTACTATAAGTGTAGAAATAATTTTTCATACATTTTCTTTTCCTTCATTATGTGTTTTTAATACAGAAAACGAAACCGCATTCTATGGGGAGAATCTGATAAGAACATTAAGATAGCAAAAAATATACTTTTTTGAGGATTTTGTCGTTTCATCACCACAATAGTGCACTAAATAATATGTTTTCTTACTGTTATGCATTTTTTCTTATAGAAGTAGTTTGTTCGACTATTGCACCAGCACTTCACTTTGACTGCACAGAGTGCAACATGAATTCTAATGGAGAAATTTAAAAATAAATAAATTTATGTAGCCTTACTAATTTGAAAATTCATTTTATTCCAAGAGTCGGCGCACGTGTAACAATTTTCACAAATAGATGTATATTAAGGGTTCCTTTATTTTTGTTCTTCGTCGTATCTCCTACTCTATTACAGACCGCTCGTATTACGTACTACGTGCTGGTATTTACGCTTTACGTCGGAGGAAAAAAAAGCTACCAAATACATATTTTGAGAATTACGAACAATAGGTCGAGTAGCATACAATTGTATCAGAAATTGAGTGAAATAAATGAAATTGAACTGTTTATGAATATATTACGGAAGTCTTTTTGTTTTGTAAATAACTACAACTAGTGGCCTACAGCAGCAAAAATGAAACTGAACTCACAAAACTATGTTTCAGAAAGGAGGACGCTCACTGTTAAAACACCAACAAAAAGTACTCTCGTATAACTTTACCATAAGTTAAATATTTTAACAAACCAGTCTTCACGAATACTGCAACAACGTAGTGCTTTTTACGAAGTCCCTAGATATAAAAAAAAAGTCATAGATATCTCTCACATAATTCGAGACTGTATATTTTGCTTTCAATTTCTGCGCATTTTAAAAATTACTAATACAGATGGCAGTATCGAAAAAGTTATTAAATTATACCACAATTTGAATGACATATTTTGTTTATCAGTATAATGTCATCAGGTTATAATTAATCAGTACTATTTACCCTCAGAAAATAATTTTTCTTACACTAGTTGCTGACAGTCGTATGAACGAATTAGCTTTTTATGCAAAGTTACCCTATTATGATGTATTATTTTCAACAGGACATTAAGGTGAACATTGTTTCGTATCGTATAAGCATATTCACGTTCTTACGAGACAAAATATAGGGCATGACATTTCAAATTAAATTATTGGTAATTGGAAAGTAACGTCTACATGCAATAAAATTAAATAATGGTAGAGTGATACTAAAATCTCTTCAATATCTTCGTCCATTTAACGTTTTTCCTACATAAAATGCAGAAATAAACCATAGTTCGGTTTTGAAATATCGTTTATTTTCGTCTGCCCAGACCATCATACATGATGCTTTTACTGACTTTACATAATTTGATTATAATAACGACATATAAACATTCAGAAGTACAATATTTAGTTTCCATTTAAGTTTCAAATTTCAATTATAAAGTTTTTGTATTAATGGTATCGCACAGTAATCTGAAAAAGGGGGGAAAATAATACTATCTTAGTGCTCCTAAAATCCCATAGAGATATCATGATAGACTATTTTTCCGAGATTTTTAACAAAGGATTTGATCAGATTAGAACTGTGAATTATATAATTCATTATATTCTAACAGCGGGAAAACGTATTTCTGAATTTGAAATCCGGTTGGCGTGACCCGCAGCAGAAGTGAACGGGGCGCAGCACTCCGCAGCGCCTCCGCGAACAGGCCACAGGAGCGGAGCGTCGGCTGGCGACGCGCGGCTGGGCGCGCTCAAGAGGCGCCGCCGCCACGGCGTTCGGTCCGCGCGGCCGGCGGCATCGGCGGGGGCGGCGGGGCAGAGGCGGCGGCGGCGGCGGCAGCAGCAGCAGCAGCAGCGGTAGCGGAGACGCAGGCGGCGGTGGCGGCGGCACGGGCGGGAGCCCGCCAGTTGCCGGGAAGCGAACGGGCGAAGAACACTTCGCTGAGGAGTTTATAGTTTGTTGCCTGCGGGCGGGGAAGGAGGCTGCGGAGCCGAAGCGTCGGCGGGACCCTCCCCCCGCCTCCAACACCGCCGCCGCCGCCACCTCCGCCGCTGCTGCTTCTGCTGACGACGACGACGATGACGACGACGGAGGCGGCAGCAGCGGTGGCTATGGCGCCGGGGTAATGCGTGAGAAGAGAAGGAAAAAAAGATGGGGTGGCAACGACACAGGTTGGCGTGTTCCCACGCTGCTTTCAGTAGTTTCTCCCAGCCCTTGCGCGCGCCCGACCCGGCCCGGCCCGGCTCGCCAGACACATGCACGGCGGTGGTGGCTGGCAAGGAGGACCGTAGCTCTCGGGGAGGCCGCCAACCTCGCCTTGCGAACCATCCCGAACCACCCTCGCCGCCGCTCGCGTCCTCACCCTCTTCTCGTCCCCAAATTCGGGAGATAATCTGACCTCCTGACAGCGCTTACACATTCCGGGCCCCCAGGCGGGGGCCCAGCGCCTCGGGGACCTACCGCTCCACCTCCGCCTC